TCATCAGAAACATTGCCTAAAATGCAGTACTACCTTCTTTTCAGTTCTGGGAAAGTATAGGAGAGATGGTTTTTGATACTTCATCAAGTACAAAAAACTTTCCCTCTTCTTAAAGCTACAGAAACCATCTTACCAAACCATGGGGGAAGGTACAGGAACTGGGCCAGTGGTGGTGGTGGTGGTGGTGGGGTGGTGCTGTACCTTTATCTGTACTGGTTGAACTTTCAACCAGTACACCTGGTACCCAAAGGGCAAATCACCACTTTTCCCAGCACTGGTTTCCATAGCTTTAAGAATAAAGGAAATTCATTCAGATGACTTCTTTTTGGAGTTTTCTGTATTGCTTCGGATGCGAAATCAATTACTTTGAATTCTAGCCTGAAAAAGTTTTCATTAAGTCACTTGGCTCTCACAGTATTTGGTACCATTCAATACATGCCTTCAAAAGACCAAAGTTCGGAGGTGAAGCACACAAAATCAAAGCCAATCCGTCACTAACCCGTCCCAAAGGGGTGACATGACTCACCTGCTCCTGAAGGTTTTTCAAAAGTGTGACGGCACTTGGCAGGTCCGACTCCAGCATCTCCTATGAGAGGGAGAATAAAGAAAAGCCCTTCTTTCCTCAGGATTATGAGAAGACGTGGGGGGTGGAAAACTCTCCTCTCTCCTTCAGACACCCCAGACTGACGACTTTCCCACTCTAGTACACATGCAGCCTCGCTTCACAGCCGGCCCGTCCTCCAGGTTCCTAGGAGGAGCGGTAGCTTCAGGCCCGTCGCCCTACTGCTGCTCTCACCCCGCTGTGCCAGGAAGGTTGCTTCCTTTCATCACCCCCTTCCCTCGCGCCAATAATTTGCCCTAAGCCGCTGAGGGTATAGGAAAAAATCCCACAATAGCTACGCAAGGAAGCTAACTCACGGGACACCCCGGCGCCGCCATCTTCACAAAGCCCGCCTCTTCCGGGGCGGTACTTTCTGAGCTAAGCTGTGCAATAGACTTGACAGACAACAGCCGCTGGCAAATCTAAGCCAATAGGAATAGTGATCTCTCACTTCCGCCCCGAACAGGATGTGCGGAAGGAGGAGCCACGTCCAGCCAATAGAATGGAAGAACTGCCTAACTTCGTCAGATTTAGGGGGCGATCTAATGACGTAAAAATGCTCGTGGAAAGGAGCGCTTGATTAGTGGATTGTATAGAATGTTTAGAGCTAAACCAATAAAAAACGAGCCAAGTGATGATCGACAGTTAGAAAGGCCCAATGGCAAAAAGAAGTTTGCAGAGCAAACTGAGAACGTAGTGGCTTCCCGGATACCGCAGTACCCAGTCTTTTTTACTAGCCTGCCCTTGCGTGGCCACAACTGACCGCTAGGTGGCAGTCCTCGGCTTCTCTCTGAGGTGGCTGTGTTGCGGATCAGCCATAGCTGGCTGCTGCTCCAATGCAGGCAGCGCGAGATTCCTCACAGGCCGCGCGAAATTCCTCACAGACCGCAAGGCCCTTGGATCGACTTTGTGACAGTAGTCTTGTGTGACCCTGGAGAAGTCACTCGGTCTCTGAGCTTTTTTTATGTGTAAATAAGAGAGTTTGGCCAGAGAAGCCCAGAGCCAGGGTTTAGAAACGAACACCCAGGACACCCGCCCTCACCTCCGCGTCGTGTGCAGAGGGGACCCTGTGCAAAGACCCACCATATGCCACTACCAACACTCCTCATCCCTACCCGTTTGGGGACGTGAAAGCACGTTTTAGAAATGAAGAAGCCAGTTAAGATTTATGTGACATGCCTCCTGTCACACGGGTCCGCAGCAGAACTTGGTCCAAATCCAGCTTGTGTTTCCTTATGCCCTGCCTCATCTTTTCTCGATACTTCAGACTATGTCAACTCACTCCTGCTTCTCCCAGGCTGATAAAGTGAATTGGGTCGGTATTAGTTGCTTCTGTCACCTGCCTTAGGAAATAAGCACTGCGGAGGTTAATAATGGTCTTGAATTTGTCCCGCAAGGGCAAGCTGACCTCACACTAGAAATCAGATCTCCTGACTTGGAACCGTCTTCTGGAATTAAGGAAGGAATAACCCCCATGTCTCAGCCAGGATGGGAAGATACTGGTTTCTAAATCTTTTGCTGGACTCAGGAAGAATAGGTAGGGGTTGTATCCAGTCCCCATGCCTCTTAACTTTGGTTTGCTGCTTCAGGCCCACCGTGGAATCTCAGAGTGCCTTGACAACCTATTCATTCTATTAATCAATAATTTTTTACTGTTTGTCAGGATTTGTATTATGAAATGTTGCCATTACTTTTTTTTCTTTTTTCTTTTTTTTTTTTTTAGATTTTATTTATTTGTCAAAGAGAGAGCACAAGCAAGGGGAGCGGCAGGCAGAGGGAGAAGCAGACTCCCTGCTGAGCAAGGAGCCCCACTTGGGACTCCATCCCAGAACGCTGGGACCATGCCCTGAGCCCAAGGCAGACGCTTAACGACTGAGCCACCCAGGCATCCTGAAAAGTTGCCATTTCAACATAAATTCTCATACTTGTCTTGTTAGGTAACAAATAAGATTTGCCTTTCCTTGAAACTTGAAATTAATCTGTTCATATGCATTATGATGTCAGTGAGGAAACAAATTATGCTGCTTTGTTTTGCTTTTGATGATTAAGTACTTGCCAGTCATTCTTTTTTATAAGAAAATCTTGGAGTTAACAGTGCAGTAAATCCTTGTAAAACTCTTCCAGGACTCAACCAACAAGTATTGGCAAAGAACACGAGATCATTAAATTTATTGTTTTCTTTTTCTGTCAGCAATTCCATACACTGTCAGTCATTAATAACATTTGATGCACTGTAATTCCTATCCATTCCTCTAGATATAAGTTTTTTTGTTTTTTGTTTTGTTTTGTTTTGTTTTGCTCTGACTTCTTTCAGGATTTTTCTGTCTTTGGTTTTTGCAGTTTGAATATGATATGCCTAAGTATAGGGGTTTTGTTTTTGTTGTTGTTTTGGTTTGTTTTTTGTTTTGTTTTGTTTTGTTTTGGTATTTATCCTGCTCAGTGTTTTCTAATCTTTCTAAGTTTCAGGCTTGGTTTGGTTTCTGTCATTAATTTTGGGAAATTCTCAGCCATTATTATGTCAAGTATTTATTCTCCTTTATCTCTTTCTTGTACTTCTGGCATTCCCATTATGCATGTGTTACAACTTCTGAAATTGTCCCACAGTTCTTGGATATTCTGTTCCATTTCTTTCTTTCTTTTTTAAGATTTTATTTATTTATTTGTCAGAGAAAGAGAGCACAAGCAGGGGGAGTGGCAGGCAGAGGGAGAACCAGGCTCCCCACTGAGCAAGGAGCCCGATTCAGGACTTGACCCCAGGACTCTGGGATCATGACCTGAGCCTAAGGCAGACGCTTAACTGACTGAGGGCCCAGGTGTCCCAGTTCCATTTCTTTTCATTCCTTTTTCTCTTTGTATTTTATTTATTTATTTATTTTTAAAGATTTTATTTATTTATTCATGAGAGACAGAGAGAGAGAGAGAGGCAGAGGGAGAAGCAGGCTCCCTGTGGAGCAGGGAGCCCGACGCGGGACTCGATCCCAGGACCCTGGGATCATGACCTGAGCCCAAGGCAGACGCCCAACCATCTGAGCCACCCAGGCGCCCCCTTTTTCTCTTTGTATTTTAGTTTAAGAAGCTTCTATTGACATTTCTGCAAGCTCACTGATTTCTTTTGTCAGACTCAGGAATCTACCTCTTGGCATCTGTTCTGACAAAATCATTCAAAAAGAAAAAGGTGTAAATATCTATATGTATTTACATGTATATATGTATACATATATATTTGTTTGCAGACATTCTAAGTTTGAAAAACTACAGAGGGGGTTGGAGAATGACTGTAAATAGGTATGGGGTTTCTTTTTGGGGTGATGAAATGTTCTAAAATTAAAGGTGATGGTTATACAACTCCAAATACATTAAAAACTACTGAATTATACACTATTAAAGGGTGAATCTTGTAATATATGAATTATATCTCAATAAAGATGTTACAAAAAATATAAACAATCTAAATATCCAACAAGTAAATTTTCATATTCTAACTCAAATAGCAAAAAATAGCCCCAGAGCTTCATGTATTGATATAGCTTCCTTTATAAGCCAAGCACAATTCTGAACATTTATATGTATTAATTCAGTGGTTTTCCAAGTGTTATCCTCAAACCAGTAACATCAGGTATGCAAATTTGGGCACCCCACCTAATCTATGGAATTGGAATCTCTGAGGCCACTCCCTAAGAAACTGTTTCAACAAGCCTTCCATGTGAGTCTGCAGCATGGCCAAGTTTGAATTATCACTGAATTTATTTAATCCTCACAGCAAACCCATAAGATTGGCAACAATATTATTGTCCCCATTTTCCAGATATTAGTGGAATATCTGCAGTCATAAAATGACAAAATCTAAGATGGTAGAAATATGGAATACTTATTGATAGAACATAAGTTTATGTACATATTGTATGTACACACAGCATCTATAAAGAAGAATCTCTCTCTCTCTCTCTCACACACACACACATAAATATTTACATCTTTTTCTTTTTGAATGATTTTGTCAGAACAGATGCCAAGAGATAGATTCCTGAGTCAATAATTATGAGTACTTTTATGTATACTATGATGATTTATTTTATATGTAAACCTGACTGAGTCACTAGGTGCCCAGATATTTGGTTAAATATTATTTCTGGCTATGTCTGTGAGGGTATTTCCAGGTGAGATTAACATTTGAATCAGTAGACTGAGTAAAGTAGGTTGACCTCCACAAGCTTCTACTTGGAAAGAAGTAGAGAAATAAGAATAGTTAATGTGATTCGGTAGGAAACCTTGGGTGTCATTTTTGTACTCACAGAGTTTCAACAAAGTTTTGTTTTCATGTTTCAGAAGCAGCCCTGTTGAATCGGAAGGTACTTTTACAGAAGAGACTTTTTTTTTTTGTAAATACAGAAAGCTCGTTTAATTCACTTCACAAAAGCATGTATCTTTTCTGCAATTAATATTTAGAGACCAACTGAATTCACACTAACACCAACCGTAAATAGAGGGATACTTAACTGCAAGAGCTAAAAAAACGCTACTCAACAAAGTTGTAATGGCAACCAACACACCATTAAAGACATGGAGTCCCAAACATGGCTAAGTGTGGGCACAGGATGGGTCACGGGGGTGACCAACTGCATCTCACAACACCACATCATGGATAGGGTAGGGTGGGGGGAGGGGGCCTGGAGGGACCTGTTGATATGTTAACTGTGATGCATAAAGCTGAATTTTGCAAGGGCACAGAAGATACAAATCTTCACCCCTTCAGGGGCTTTATCTGTCCTGGTAGTTCATGCTGCAGTCTGCACCATGTGATGACTGGTAGGAGTGAGGAGGGCCTGAGCTGTGCCTAGAAGGGCAGAGAGGAAGAGTCTCAACCAAGTCAGGAAGGTAGGAAAGCCCGGCTTGGGGTGAGGGAGCTGTTGGTAGGCCTGTCCAACGGAGGTGGGAGGCTGTGAAGGGATAAGAAGGCACAAGCTGTGACCAGTTTATGAATTGTTTTCAAATGTCAACCAGAGGAGCCTAGGCATTGTCTCAGAGAAAACATGGAGCCCTGGAAGTTTCTATAAATGACAGATATGTAAGAAATGCATACTTCTTTAGAAAATTAAATCTGCCAACCATTTGGTGAAATGAGCAGCTCGAAGACTAGTCAAGGTGCTCTTGCAATTATGCAGGTATGAAAAGGGGCCCAGCTGAACAGGTAGATAGATTATAAGGAGCTGAGAATTACTGGATAGGGTCCACTGAGATGGGGTAGATCCTGGAGAATGTTGTCATTGTGGATGCTGGAAGGAAGTCCAGACCGGCCCAGCAGCTGATAAAAGGAGTTCATCTGTGAAACAGAGTCAGGAAAATGTTCTAACAAGAGGGCCCTAGAACAGGTTTGGAAAGTCAAGCGACTCGTGGTAAGAACAGATAACCACTCACGTAGCATTTGCTGTTTGTTGGGAGCTGTGCCTATAACTTCTTTTTTTTCCTTCGCTTTCTTGAGGTGTAGTTGACAAATAAAAATTGTATGTATTTAAGATGTACTATGTGATGTATTGATAGATGTATACATTGTGAAATGATTACCACAATCAAGCTAATTAATAAATCTATCACCTCATATAGTTAACCTTTTTCTTTTTGGTGGGGGGTGGTGAGAACAATAAAGATGTACTCTCTTAACAAATTTCAAGTACTTAATACACTACTGTTCACTATAGGCACTGTGATATATATCAGAACACCAGAACTTATACATCATGCATAGCTGATATTTTGTACCCTTTGAACAACATTTCCCCCACCCCCCCAGCTGTTGGTAAGCACCACTCTACTCTGTTTCTAAGAATTGGACCTTTTAGATTCCACATACAAGTGAAATCATGCAGTATTTGTCTTTTCGTGACTTATTTCACTTAGTTTTTGTGACTTTGTGACTTATTTCACTTTTTGTGACTTATTTCACTTATTTCACTTATTTTACCAGTTCCATCCATGTTGTCACAATAACAAGATTTCCTTCTTTATAAAGACTGAATAATATTCCTTGTGTGTGGAATCAGATTTTCTTTACCCATTCATCCATTGACAGACACTTAGGTTGTTTCCATGGATTGACACTTGTAAATAATGCTGCAATGAACATGGGGGTGCAGATATTTCTTTGAGATGGTGATTTCATCCTCTTTGGATATATACTCAAAAGTGGGATTGCTGGGTCATGTGATAGTTCTAGTTTTAATTTTTCTAGGAACCTCCATGCTATTTTCCATGATGGCTGTAACCAATTTTTAAAATAACTCCATAAACATGATCCTTAAGGCAAGTATATGGGGTAGATATTACCATCCACATTTTACAGTAAAGCTGAGGTTTAATGCTGAGATTCAAAGCAAGGTCTTCCTCGTTCCAAAGTCTGTGCTCTTTCCTCTAGATTAGTGCTTGTCAAACAATAATGGGCATTAAGTCACGGAGGGGGGGTGTCTGGTTAAAATGCAGATTGTTTCAGTAGGCCTGGGTTGGGTCTGAGATTCTACAGTTCCAACAAACTCCCACTGATGCAGATGCATCAGTCCATGGATCACACTTTGAGTCACAAGATTTTGCATGATACTTGTTTTTGTTTTTTTTTCTCAGAGTGGTTAAGTAACTCACCCAAGTCACACAGCTGGTCCTAGTAGAGCCAGGGCTTTTGAACACAGGTCTATTTGGTTACAAAATTACGCTCTTAGATATTAAGATAAGCTGTCTCCCTTTATTAGCAGGAGACAGGGCCCCCAGCTTCCAGTCTGGGGCTTAAAGGAAAAATCTAATCCCTGAGTAGATGGGAGTCAGCAAAACTAAGAGGGTCCCCATGCCAGGGCCTCTGGCAGAGGGAACACGACCAGGGCTCAGTTACCAGACTGGGGCACAGTGTGGAGCCCAAGAACAAGATAGAAGCTAAGTTTCTGGAACTACTGCACAGGGGCAAGGACAACTGGATGCTGAGACTCCCAAGTCTGGCCAGAGCTCATTCTATGCCTCCTGCATTGGGGCTGATCAGGGACAGGACTGACCCTGCAGGTATGACAAGGTATAGCAGAGGAGAAAATGGACACAAGACTGTGAGCCAGGTTACCCTTCATACCTTCCTCCCCAGGATCCTTGGCACTCCCCAGGGAGGCTAGGCCTTCCTAAGGCTCACCCATATCCTTGGGGGCTATAGACCCCATTCCCTGCACTCTCATTTCCCACCCTCCAATGTCTTGATTTCAAGACTTCCTCCCACCTCAGTCCTCCATGTGCACGCTCCCTGTTGGCACGACAGGATGGTTCCATATTTCAGGTGCTTATCCTATCGACCTTGCTCTGTCAGGACCCATAAAAACTGTCTTTTTTTTCCTCTTTCTTCCTTTTTTTCCATTCATTTTTCTTCCCTTTGATTGGCCAGGGCATAAGGTAGGTCCCTGGGAAGTCAGAAAGCAGAGGCCCTAGTAATGACTCAGTTTGGCGGCCGCAGTAGGGTGTGGGGGGCCCATGGGAGCAGCACAGAGCAGGGTGAGAGTAGAGAGCAGGGTATTTCAGATGCTTCTGGGCTTATGCTTTTGCATCAGGAAAGCCGCCATCCATGCTACCCCAGCTGTCGGCTCAAGGGCTTGATTAGAGTCATCAACTATATTAGGCTCTTGGACAGAACTTCTGTTGACTTTTGGCTAAAGGCCGGCTCAGAAGTTCCACAACAAAGGACAGGTACAAATGTGAGCTAAAGGATAAGTTATAGAGCCCGAAAAAGAAAAATGACCAGATAAAATTTTGAGTGTGAAAAATGAGACATTTCAGGATTGGCTTTGCCAAAGAAATGATGAGACATTATCACGCCAATGTCAGTGTCGTGAAAATAAAGTCTTGTACACAGATACAGATAATAGCTTCTGCTACATACTAGGATAATTTCCCATGACCTGAGAAGCCACCATGTACCTACTATCACTTCTGCCCCCAAGCAGAGTCTCTCTGTCCAAGTGCCCCCCTCTCCTAAGAGGATGATGTTCAAGGGGCAAAGAAGAGCCAAGGCAGAAAGCGGGGTGTGTTGGCATCCTCTTAGATATCATTTATCAGCCTCCTTGAGTCATTTTAAAATTCATTTTTGTTCATTTTTGAGAGCTAATTATAGGTTAGCCTCTGGAGACTCTGGTAATCATGCAAATGCAAGTTACTTGAGGAGAGACCCTGGAATCATTCATGGCTTGAGAAGCCTCCAAAAACTCCAAACATTTAATTTTTGTATATCCCAGTTAAAAAAAAAAATCTCAATGTATATTTTGTCCATACACATAAAAGGGTCCGGATGGATACCCTCTAACTACTAACCGTGGTCACCTTTGTGGAATGGGACTGTGAATGGTGGAAGGGGCTTAGCTTCTTTTGCCTTATAGAAGATTCATTGTTTGAATGTTCAAAGTCATGAGCATTACTTTTATAACTGGGGACAAAGGAGAGAAGGAAGAAAGAGACTTGAAAGAGAGAAGAATATACAGAAAGGCAACAAAAATACAGAGAGAGGGAGAGAGAGAAAGAAGGGAAAAAGGGAAAGAGAGAGAGAGAAAAGGAAGGAAGAGGAGCTCCCTCCACCCTCACCCTGAATAAGATCCAGGGAATCTCATCTATGTCCTTTATCCTGCAGGAGCAATTGGAGCCCTCAGAGGAACAGAGAACAGCAGCTGTCCACCTTCTTTGGTGTATTATTCATCATGTATTTATTTTATTTCAATTTGTCAGAGTTGAAAGGGCTCAAGATAAAAATATACATAATAATTTTTGGTCATTTAAAATATTAAACAATGAATAGCATCTAGGGAGACTAGGGGCAAGAGGCAGGGAAGGGGAGGGGAGGGAAACACGTAAAAGGAACATATTGAGCAAGAAAGAAACAGCAGGTTCAAGTAAATAGCAACACATACCAGTCTGCTTAAAAACCCCAGGAGGCCACTACTCCTTATTTAAGCTGTGAAAGCTTGTTCGCTAGAGGCTGGGCCAGAAAGGTAAACCTAGAAGACTTGGTCTCCCTTTTTCCTTCAGAATGCCCACAGCATTGGCCAGTGGCTGTGGGCGTGGTTGCTCAAGATCCAACCCTTTGTCCAAGACCCACCTGGAGCTTACCTTCCAGAGAAGCCTCCCCTCATTGCCCTCTGCCCTGCGTTCAGTGACAGCACATCTGCATTCCTGTATTTACGCCCTCAATTTTTCAGTGGTTTTGCATACGTTAACTGTTGTCACTCTGGACCTGTGATCACGTTGGCCGTGCGTGTTCATCGATCTGAAAACTCTCGGAGGACAAGGAGGCCTCTGACCTGGCTCTTTGCCCCTTTCAGGTGCCTGGTCCACAGAGAGTGTGCAGTGACCTTCCCATCCCTTCCCACCACCTCTCCATGCTCTTCTGCAGTGACATTGCCAGGAGCCAGAAGGACCATTGTTAGCAGATGACCACGCAGGCACGGCTGTCTAATTCTAGCCAAGGGCATAGGGGAAAGGACAGAACCCAGGGACCTGTGGCCTCTTCTCTGAGAGGACACAGGGCTAATAATAGGAGGGGAGATTAGGGAGGGATTTGAACTGCATTGTTATCTCACAGGAATGGCCTCTGAGAGCCTTTTTTCCAAGCTCTTCCAAGAGCGTCACCACCCCCTCCTCTGCCCTGTGTCTCCGAAGGAGTGCTCACTGTCTTTCATCACTTCTTTCTCTCCTCTTTCCATCTGCTCTTCTCTGTTAACCCCCATCCATTCCTTCCCCACCCTATCCGTCCAGCCCCCGTCCTCTCTAGCCCATCCTCAGTCCTCATCCCTTTTCTGTCTCCTGCACCTATGTTCCCTACTTCTCTGCCTTGATCTGCTTCCTTCCACCACTCCCACAAGTCCTTCACACCAATTCTTCTTGCCCACTTCTGTGTCCCTTCTGGGGTCCCCACCTCCTCTCCTCCTCCCAGGCTCCCCACTGTCTTCAGCTTCAGGCACCAGACTTGTTTTCTAAGCTGGTGGCCTTTGTCACCCGTTTCCTGACACATGTGAACCAGTTTCTCCTTCTCCTGCCTCTATGCCCTTGCTATGCCCTCCCTCAAAGCTCAGCTGGACAGGCACAGGTAACAGAGATTGGGGTGGGCTGACAGCCTCTACTCTCCTAACAACTAGAAATCACCACCACCAGGCACCAAGCATTGGGACACCTCTGAGAACAAGACTCGGGGCATGCAGGCCATAGGAGACACCTCCTTGAGCCCAGCCACAGCTATTCTTAGGAACCCAGTACCACAAAAGGGCCTTTTGCTTTGTTTCACACCACCCCCATGGAGCTGCTCTTGGCAGCCACGCTGTAATCTTAGAGACAGGGGGCCCAGGCACGGAGAGGCCAGGCTGGACACTGTGCCCCCTGCCCTGATTGAGACTCTGACCTTGGGGCAAGGTCACCTCCCCCCACGACACACAACCACATAGCTCTGCCACTCTCTGCATTCTTGGCCTATTCACTCCACAGCTGAACCTCAGCTCTACCAGCCCCTCCTCCCTCTCCTCCACAGGACCTCCTGGCCTGCCGCTCTCACTCAGGCTCCCAAAGGACCCTTTTCTGGCTCTTTCCCACTCCCAACAAACCAACTAGCTCACCATCTTACTCCTGTCCCCGCCTCCTTTCCTGCTCAGAACGGTTCAGGCTATTTTGATCTAGTAAATCCAAAGCCCTTTGATAAAAGCCCTTCGTTTCCTGCTGCCGGTGGGGAAGCTAAGATCCCAGCTCTGGTGTTTTCAGGGTGGAAGAACCTGACCAGCTCTCAGTCTTTAGTCTGGTCCGTGGCTCCAAGGTGATCAGGCAGTCAGGCTTCCCACTGCCGCTGAAAAACTCCATTGGGAGAATACAGCAACCAGCTCCCCGGGCTCCCCCTTCGTTCCACACCAGACCCAGGGAAGTCACTTACCACCTGCTCCCCAGGGCTGGAAGGACCGCGTAATGTGTGTATCTCTTTGTGTTCTTAATCAGTTTCTAATGGTTGTGTGGACTTTGGGGCATGTGCAGCAAAGGGCTGGAAGTAAACCCAGGCTCACACAGCCCGCAGCAGGAATGCTGCACAGAAGGGTCAGCCTTCCACCCTACATCCTGCTGCAAGAGACCAGCAGCCATCCCCTGGCTGGGTTATGGGCTGGGGCAGGTGGAGGCACCTGCGCGGTCAAAGCAGCAACATCATCTTTCCAGGTAAAATAAAACTACTGAGGCATTAGCAAGCAGAAGAAGCCCAGCCACGGGCACTACTCTGTATCACTCTCTAGGGTGACTCCCCGCCCTCCGGCCCTACTTTGTCCTCATACCCTGGACCACCGGCAGCCAAGACCTTTCTCAGGCGAGTTGGTGAGGGCCAGAGGAGGACTGCGTGGCTTCCCCAAGCTCTACTCTGAGCTCCCAGGAAGTGTATCTGGACATGAGGAGGAGTTGGCTGAGCTTTTCGCTTGCAAGCCTGCCTTATGGTGGTGGGTACCCCAACTCTCCAGGTATTCCCAAACCACCGCTCAGGCTTCCAGAGAGAGAGGCAGGAATAGGAAAGCAGAACCAGAAAATGCAGTAAGGGAATGGGGGACAAAATCAGGGCATCTCTTATCACCCCCTCTTCATGAGTTCGGGATTGCCCGATCTTAAAAACACGACAAACCGTGTTACTTGACCCTCTTCCCTTCTAGCTGGTGTCTAATCTCTTTTACTTCACTGCCAAGCTCCTCAAATGCACGGTGGCCACCCACTGCCTCCCATGCCTGGCCGCTCATCCTTTTCCTAATACCTCCCTGCAGCCTGGCTCTGCCCTGTGACTCTACAGAAGGTCCTTGCTCCAACGTCACCCAAGTTCCTCCTCTCTGTCTCCCCGCCACTCAGTCTTTCTTTGGCATCTGACACTGTGGCCACCTGCTCCTCTTGAAACACTTCTTCTGGTTTCTAGGAAACTGCCCTTTTCCGTGCTCCTTGGCTCTCGGGTCACCTTCCCCCTTCTCTGTGAGCTTCTCTTCCTTCTCCCGTCTTTGCACCACGAGTATCTCCTGGGGCTTTTTCTCTTGTCTCCAACCTCATGGCTTTTTCCATTCCCTTTCCCGCCCTGACCAAGGCAGTAGGTCTCAGGCACCCGTCCTGCCCCCCAGTCCCACCATTCCAACTTCTTACAGGGATACAAAATATCCTCCGTCAGCTGTCCCACTGTTACCTCCAACGCCCTACACCAAACACTTTGTCCTTCCTCCTGTCTGCCGAAGAGTTTGTCCCCCTTGCTGCTACCCCCATCCTTGCCGACATGGTGCAGTCATGAGCCTGCCTTCCTCATTTCCTGTGTCCAGTCTCTCAGCAAGGCATTTCTTTCTTCCTTAGAAACCCCTCCAGCCTTGCCCCTTCCTCTTCACATCTGCTGGCCCTGCCCTCCCCCCGACCTGGATTGCTACTCCTCTGGGTCTCCCTGTCTCCAGCCTCTTCTCCCTCAAAGCACCCAATGATTCCCTCCGCTTGGCCCCTCCAATTCTACTGTCATAATGTCGCAGTGACTGCCCCTGGTTTAGAGCTTTAGTCATTTTTCATTGCCTCCAGGATATTGTCCATTTTGCTGGTCTGGGAAACATGGCAGTCTCAGAGCAAGAAACTTGGGTTTTAATCCTAGTGCCACACTTGCCGCTTGACCTTCAGCAAACATCTTGACCTCTCTGAATCCTGTTGCTCAACCATAAGATGCAATTTAGTTGGCAAGCAAGTGTACGATAACATGTATAAAATGCCAGGCTTTGTGCCTGCACAGGGAGGCATTCCACACACAAACAGCCGTCTCCCCTCTTCTACAGTGTGGCCCCACCTGAAGCTCCAGACTCCCCAGAGTCTGACCAGGGATATGTCGCCTGAGTCTTCATGACTTCACCATGCCGTTTGCCTGCCATGCTTTTGGTCATGCTATGATTCTTAGCCACATCCCCATTCCCAGTGCTTCTCAAAGGCCTACGCTCCCTTCAAGCCCCAGTTTCAGGCCCCCACCTAGAAAGCTTTGATGGTTCCAACCCACACTGAACAAGAGCTTCTCTGCCCTTAAGTTGTTCTGGATCTGGGCCACACCGTGTAGCCCTGAACCATTCTCCCTTGATTTCCAATATGTTACCTGTGGTTTCCCGAGCTGATGGCAATGCCTGTGGGTCAGACGCCATGTATCCTTCTGTAGTCACCACAGAACTGGGCACGCAGCAAGGCATCTGATTAAGTGACTGGCTGGGACCAGCTGGGGGGAAAGAAGGATGAGTTAGGCTGGAAGCTGGGAGGGAGGCACTCCTGGCAAGTTCACGAACACCAGTGCCCTGTCTTCAGACTGGCTGTAGACAGCAGCTCAGACTCTGTGTCTTAGGCATGTGAGGAGATGTGCACCTACACACGCATGTATGTGAACACATGTGTAGGTGTGCATGCTGTGTGCATTCACCTGCATTTATAGTTGGGGGGAGAGGTGGAGAGGTAGGTGATGGGCCAGAGAGGCCTGCTTAAGGAAGTGAGGCCTCTGACAGAAAGAATGAAGTAGAGGATCCCTTCTCCCCTTGGGGAAGCGGGCAGGAGATTATCAGCCTGTTGGCTCCTCACTGAGCAATTACCACCTGCTCCTTGTAAATCGCATAGGCTGTCCATACCTTGGGCTGATCCAGGCCTGGCGGCTACTGCCCCACAGATGCCCATGAGCAGAGCAGAGGACTTTGGGTGGAGGAGCAGGGCTTATGCTGGGTCCCCAGCTGGGGCCCAGCAGAGAGACAGCAGTGTAGGGCTCCAGCTCTAGACACCAAAGTATCCAGCAGGCAACTCCAGGATGCTGTTTCTCAGTTTACCCAATTATTTCACATCACAATACCCTGGCCATTCTCCTTCCAGAAGTTTCTAGCCCCCCGGTATCCTAAGTCTGGCTCCAGCTCAGTGGTGATTAGGACTGCTGAAGGAACCCAGGTCAGCCCCATCACTGAGGGCCTCAATTTAACCTGCCACCCCTCCACAACCCAGCTCCCGGATCCTAGAGCCAGCCCAGCTCCACCGGGCAGTTCCACCCAGGATCCCTAAGATCCTCAGCCAGGACATACACAAAACAATCTGGCTGACAGTTGTCTCGAATGGCCAAGCAGCCTCCCCCTGGGGGCCTCTGTTCCCATCAGATGTCCTTGGCTGATACCACCACCGAGCCTGGGTGACTCCTGGTGGGCCTCGCATATTGGCCTGCCGTGAGGGCAAGTCCATGGGCAACAGTCAGGGACGGCTGCCTCTCCTGGCTTCAAGGCTAGACTGCAGGCCTGGACTGAGCCTAGGACAGTTTGAACACTTGGCCTCCTGGTCATGGTGTTCCCAAGGGCAGTCCCGACCTGGACAGAAGAGGCCACGGGATTGCTGGATCGCTGATCCACCCTGGCCTGGACGATCCTTGCACTGAGTGGCCTTAATGAGGCTGCAAAAGATGCAAAAAAGCAAAGAGCCCCCGGGCCAGGTAACCAGTCCTACCACCCGCAGTCAGGTCTGTGTTCCTCAGAGTAAAAGCTGCCATTTCATGAGGACCCACTGTGTGTCTGGGGCTGTGCTGGGTCTTTTACCTGTGCAAACCACGATGGACTTAATAGTCCTGGAATGGAAATGTGACGATCCCCATGTGACTGATGATAAAACTGACTCAGAGAGGTTCTGTGACTGACACTGAACACACAGCTGGGAACTGGCAGGGACGGGCTTCAAACTGGATCTTTGTGACTGACACGGAAGCTCACCAGGCTGCTCCTTGCAAGCCCTCTGAGGCCTCCGGCCTTGGATCTAGACTGGCTATGCCCCCCAAGCCTCCTTTTTAGTGAATTGTACCCCTACAAACACTCCCTAGAGGCCAGACCCACCTTCCCAAAGACCCCAACCTAAACTGAGCCAGCCCCAGCCCAGCCCTCTCCCCTCTTTCCTTTCCAGCTGCCCACTGTCGATCAGAAAGCAGAGACTGGAGTGGAGAGTGGGGGCAGGGTGTGGAGGGGTACAAAAGATTTTGGAGCGAGCAGGAAGACAAAAGAATGACAAGAAGCAACAGCTGTTTGTAAAGGGAAACCTGAGACAGGCTCAAAGCCCGGGCCCTAATCCCAGGCTCGTGTGGAGCCAGGGTAGGGGTCCCCCCAAGGTCAGGGATTCTAGGGCTGGGCAGAGAGGAGCACTCAGCCCCACCGCAGGGTGGGCCCCTTCTCCCATGTGCTCAAACAACTCATGCCTCATTCCTTTCCCTGGGCCAAGCCCCCTGCCTTTTCCTCCCCCTCTTTTGCTCCCCTTTCTGGGGTTTGGGGCTCCTTTCTGCATTCCCTCTTTCCATACCGAGGTCCGCTCTAACTTGCTCTAGCGCACCCCCTCCTTCCCCATTCCTGGTAGTAATTTTAGCAACTTTTTCTCTGAACTCCTGCTGGCATGTCACAGCAAATGGTCCCTGTTTGGGCCTGACACTTGATCAGGGTGGTGACAGAGCCCAGACAAAGCAGGCACCATGCCGGGGAGGGGAGGGCAGGGCAGGGCAGGGGAGACAGATCACCTTCCTTTCTCTCCAGACCTTATTTGGTCTACCTTGGTGAAGTTGCCCTCCCCCCAGCCCCTCTTTATTTATAGCATTTTGCTCTGCTCTCCTTTGTCTTGTCTGCTCTCACTCTGCAGTACACGCCGCACTATCCCCACCCACCCCCACATGGTGGGGCCCCGGCCCCTCACTCTCCCCACCAGGAATGTGCTTGCCAGCAAAGGCCCTGGCCGTAAGCTGAGGCCCAGATCCCACTTCTACAAACAGTTGCATAGAGCTGTCAGGAGGAAGGGTCTTTATTTTGGTCCCTCTTAGGTCCTATTGACTAGAACAATGCCACATTAGTAGGAGCTCAATAAATACTTGCGGAATGAAGGGATCAGCAAAGCTGCTCGGTCTCAGACAGTCGCTAGTGGAAGGAAGAGAATCCTGACAGAGCCACGAGCAGGTGCCGGAGGGCTGGGGAGTGAGTGGGGGTCTTTAAGGATGTCAGACCCTCCAGTCTGTCTCCAGATCCTAGGGATATGAGGCAGAGAACTTGGCAGCAGGGAGGTAAGATCCAGCCTGCAGTGGAGTGTTAGAGCTCATAATGCTGTAACACCAATAGGTCAGCGCCCCCGAAACCCAGAAGAAGGAAACCAAGTTCAATGGATCTCCTAAATGTAGACAAGGTTTTCCAACTCCACGGCCAAGGAGGCTGGCCCTTGGTGAAGACATGGACTGTGAAAGGGCTTGGCATCCTCTGCATCTCAGTCACCTGCATCTGCACCACCCGAGCCCTGGGAAATCAGGCAGGGGTGGTGGCTTTGGGCTTGGGAAGCTGCAAGGGGAGGATAAAGAGAGGTTTTTGCCCTTTGTCACCAAACCCTGAGGTCTCTACCAGTGGGCTTAGTTCCTCAGCCGCTGAGAGGGCCTGGTCCAGACCCACAGAGTTTGTCCTGCCAGTCCTGTTAGCAGCAGCCCCTGTGGTTGGGGATCGACCCTCCACTTGCCTGCACCCTTCCCCCCACCCCACGGCTCTTCAAGGCCCCCAGACTGTGCTTGGGTTACCAAGCAGCCCCTCCCCACTGGGCCCCCACCTGATTTTGCCCTTCCCTGCTGTGCCTACCCCACCTTCAAAATGTACCTGTTCTGTCCCCTGCCCCCACCCAGCCTGCCGCTCTCCTTCCAAACTGACAGCTAATCAGATGGATTAATCCGCATGCGCTGGAGAGCTGTGCTCAGGAAGGAGGGGGATTTCAAAGCAAACCATGCAGTGGTTGCCTGGACACAAAGCCAGTGAAGCTTGCACACGAGGTAGCTAGAAGAGGGTGGCATTAGCTACATTCTGTGCTCACGGGGGGCTGAGCTCCAGCCCCCTTTCCTCATCTCCTTTGTGGCTGCTTCTAAGGCCTGCAGGAAAGGGGGACATTTTTCCTGTCCTTTTGCCCCACTTGCCGAAACACTAGTCTCCCTGGGTCTGGAGAGAGACCACTTCACAGAACACAAGAGGATCGGTGGGCCAGGCAGCAGCTGTCTTCATTAGGGGTCTCCTAAGTCCGAGCAGCTGTATATCTATGCCTCCAAGAGTGTCTGGCTCTGGGCTAGAGCATTCAGTACCTGAAGGCTGAGCTAGGAAAATGAGTCAGGCAGGGGGCTCCACTAGGACCATCAGGCGGCAGCTGGGTCTGCCCTCTGAGCACAGCGGGTCTTTGCCTCCTTGGACTTCCAGCCCTCCCTCCACACGCTGGCCTCTATCCCCCATCTGCTCAGCTCCCCCCACCACCTTGAATCTTGCTGCCCTGCCTAGCTGCATGACCTTACAGAAGGCACTTCCCCTCTCCATAAAATGAAGGACTAACGAATAGCCTGCCTGGCTCTGAGGTTCTGTGACCTCGACACACTGCCTGGCAGGTCCAAGGAAATCAGTGCCCAAGCCAGAGTCCCCATCTCTAAGCTCCCTGGTTGTTCTTGCCACTTGGCTGGGAAACCTCTTTCCAGCTGCCCCAGTCTAGCCCCCACCCGGGGAGCCATGTCCCCAGCTCTGCCTTACCCCTCTGCTGCTGACACTCACCCCCTCCTATCTCACAGTTGGATGTAGGACCCAGGCCAGGAAGCAGAGAGGACACTGCGCGTGGGGCTGGGCCAGCTCAGGGGGCAGGGGGCAGAGGGGCAGCTGTGTCAGAGGCCAGGAGAGCCCTGGGGGAGGGCCAGGCCCCGGCCTGCCTGAGGTCACGGTGGTCTGACCAGTCCCCTCTCCTGCCAGCTATGGAATGTGAAGCCTGGCCTGGGAGATATTTTGGCTGCACTTTGAGCCATCCCCGCCCCCTGGAACTCAGACCCTGCACACTCCATGCCATAACAATGACGACCACTTCCAATTGTTTCCTAGCTGGGGGGGGGGGGTGGAGCACTTTGGGGAAAGGGCGGGGAGCCGGGGGGAAATGCTTCTAGTGACAACAGCCCTTTCTAAATCCGGCTAGGGACTGGGTGCAGGTGGGGGTGGGGGCGCCTGCTGCCTGATATATACAGCCCCTGACCAGGTCGAGCTCCACAGCTCTCCCCTGTGCTCTGTCTTTCCTGGCTGCTCTCAGGTAGGAGCGCCGAGCAGGAGGCCTTCCTCTGGGATAAGGGGGCCCCAGCTTTAGGAAGGGGCTCCTCTAGGAACAGCAAGCTGCATGCAGGGCTTCATGCAGAGTACGAGGTCTGATCATTGAGCACACAAGTGCAGGTCTAAACATGAGTGTGGGTGCCCTGCGAGTAGGGGGGCTCAGGTATTGGGGGGGTGTGTGTGAATGTCTATATCGGAGCATATGGGACCAGAATGCGTTATGCATTAGAGGTGTGTGTGTGTGTGTGTGTGTGTGTTTTGTGTACAAGCATGCACAGTCTCAATGCATGGTGAGGGGAGGGTGTGTACCTCACTGCCTAATTAAGATACAGAAATATCAAGCAGGAGACGTGTTTATGATCATGCCTGAGGATAGCTGGTCCATTTGAGGGGAGGGAGAAGAGGATGACAGAGAACAATGACTTAGCAAGTATATATGCTCAGCAGCTAGTTGTGTGGGGTCTGTCATGGGTAACTACCCATATCCATACATGCAGAGGTGCTTGTGTGCACATCCAGGAGTCCAGGCAGCTACAGAGTGTGTACACCCTGCAAAAGGAGCTCACAGGCACGTGGTGTGGCTGTTTCAGGTCTTCTGTTTTTTTAAGATTTATTTAGTTAGTTGAGAGAGAGAGCGAGCTTGAGCAGGAGGGGCCGAGGGAGAGGAAGAGGGAATCTCAAGCAGACTCTGCAACGAGCGCGGAGCCCCCCGCGGGGCTCAATCTCACGACCCCAAGATCATGACCTGAGCTGAAACCAAGAGTGGGACACTTAACCAACTGCACCACCCAGGCGGCCCTGTTCCAGGTCTTTGTATACTTGGGAATATACAGCGATCTGCGCTTATTTATACTGTACACATACTTAACGTGTGTGTCTGTTGCCAAGGCCTGATGGCACACTGGGAGGGATGTGTGTGGCAAGGTATAGGAAGGCAGCGTGTCTGTACGAGGCATGTGCATGAGCAGCGGACATGCGTGTTCGTCAGAGGACATGTGGAGGGCATTTGGCTGTGTGATGGGTGCGTCTGAGAGCCCACAGGGGTCTCCTCTCGGAGAGTGTCCACCAAGACTGACAATCAAATGGGGGCAGGATGGAATAGAACTGGCTTTGGAGTCATGAGACAGGGGTTCAAGGCCTGGCTCTGCCACTTGTTGTTATGTGTTCTTGAACGAGCAAGCCCCTTAACCTTGATGTCTTCATCTGTAGAACAGGGTGAGGATTGAGTAAGAGGGTGTGCATAAACGTGCTTTGGAGACTGTAAAGCACGGAACAAATGCGACCATTAACAGTTTCTCAGGTGGCTCCAGGTAGGCAAGTTTCCCTAGGTGAGTATAGGCAAGGGTAGGACCATCTCCCAGGTGGGAGGAGGAGGAACAGACATCAGGAAACTTTTAGAATTATTGCTCAGGAGAAAGAGCTACAGTGTTTGGAAAGCCAGACAGAGGACAGGACCAGAGAAGCTGGCCACCACTCCCCGCCCGCTTTTAGGCCTGGGGGAGGGGTGAGTGCCGAAGGGCAGAGCCAGGGAGCAGCGGGGAGGTGACCCTGACACAGCCTTCCCTCTTCCCAGGTCCCCTGCAGGCTCGAGCCCCTTTCATCTAGTAAACACATTCGAGAAGCCAAGGTAAGGAAAGCTGAAGATGGAGTGTGGGGGAATCCGGGAAGATTGGCCATGACAGCCCCAAAGCCAGGCTATGGGACTCTAGTTTCTGCCTTGCCTTGGGGAGTGTGTCTTGGCAACCAAGAGCCCCTTGCCTGTGACTATGGAAGAGCCAGGGAGGGATAAGGATTAGAGATGGACGCAGTTAGCTTTCTGCTCCCAGAGAAGCCCAGGACACTCCTCTCTCCTCTAGGAGAGCCCCAGGCTGAACAAAAGTTAGCCTCCCCTTCTGACAGGCTTGCTAGGCTCTTCTCAGGTTGAAGGATCAGCTCAAGGAATAAGGGATGCATGGTGACCCGCCCCTGACTCACGAGGACAGTGCTAGGCTCTGGCGCTCCCACTGAAGGAGAGAGAGCCCAGGGAAGGGAGTGGAGGGTGGGTGGATGGGAGGGCAGCTAGCATCTTCTACTCCCGCCCACTGCAGGCACAGCCATGGTGGATGCGGAGATGGCTGCGTTTGGGGCCGCCGCCCCCTTCCTGCGCAAGTCAGAGAAGGAGCGGCTGGAAGCCCAGACCCGACCTTTTGACCTCAAGAAAGATGTTTATGTGCCCGATGACAAAGAGGAGTTCGTCAAGGCCAAAATTTTGTCTCGAGAGGGTGGCAAAGTCACCGCTGAGACCGAGCATGGCAAGGTAGGTGGCAGGGTTGGCGTGAGAGGCCCTCCTGGACCCCCTCCCCCCATAGCTGGGGTACACAGAGAGGTTACCACCAGGACCCATCCCACACAGACCTGAGGACAGTCCGATTTCCCTTCTTCGGAGAAGGGATCCACACCGTCCAAACAGCCCTTCTCATTCCCAATATCCTGTCTGTCTTCTCTATGATCCCCGTCCTTCTCTCTTGAACACTGCTCTCCTAGAACTTGCCTGACTCTTTTCTGGGCAGAGGGAGGGCTGACAGTTCGGCCTGCATGGGGGCTCTTGCAGACGGTGACCGTGAAGGAGGACCAGGTGATGCAACAGAACCCGCCCAAGTTCGACAAGATCGAGGACATGGCCATGCTGACCTTCCTGCACGAGCCCGCCGTGCTCTACAACCTCAAGGAGCGCTACGCCTCTTGGATGATCTATGTGAGTGCGCCATCCAGGACACCCTCTGAGTCTAGTAGCTTCCTGGTTTCTGTTCTTTGTGTCCAGGCATTACTGCACGCTATCCCTGCCCCTGCATCCCCGGTTCAGTTCTAATACCCCCGAGGCTAGGATTACTCAGATTTAGTGCTTTCATAGATTTTTCTTTCTCTTCTTCCCCTCTTGGCATTGTTCTCTAACTCTGAAACCCACCATTCCTCCCTCTTCATCACTAGCAACTCAACCCTCCTTCTCTATCCTAGACCTACTCGGGCCTCTTCTGCGTCACCGTCAATCCCTACAAGTGG